ATACGTATCAGGTTCATAAGCAGTTGTTTTGCACCCAAGGGGGACATATTAGCTGTACATTATATATTTCTGCAATGCCATGCTTACTTAATTTCATTCACAATAATTCAGTACTAAAGTTCAAATTCATGCACGTCACTCACTCCTGCTGCATTGATCATAGTTATGAGATGAAAAATGGTGACTTTAAACCAGAGTAGGTCTGTAATTATATTAAAATATTTGAGTGGCTTATTTGTCTGGGTGGGGGTTTTCTTGGTTTTTTTTGACAGCAGGTCTGCCTGACAAGCAAAGGTTCTCATAGCTGGAGACCTTTATTTCCCTTCCCCCATATAAAATATTCCTGAAGGTGTTTTTGTTTTCCTGAATGATTTATGATGGAAAAGGAGTATTGATGGTGTAACTAATCAACACCCCGGAGTCTTCCCCAGCAGTCACTGGACTCAACATGCTGCCACTGACTCCAGCAGGCACTGGTTTCACCTCCAAAGGCCACAGCACTCAAAATGTCTCCATCTCTATTTGCACAGCTGAAGTAGATGAGGTAAATCAGAGACCAAAATGAAGGGCTCCCCATTTACTCTGTGCCATGTCATTGAGACATTTTGGCTTACACAGGGTGGCACAAATTTGCTTGGATGTCTGTGCTTATATAAGAAACCATTTGGCTTGTCAGAAGAAACACCTATTCTGCCACTCAGCAAAAGTTAAATCAGTTTGCTCTTCAATGACTAGGCAAAGCAGAAGTAGCTCTGTTTGCTAATTAACTAATTTGTTGCTTGAGATCAACCGATAAGTTTACCAGCAATGCTGATCACACAAATTTATCCGAGAACTTCACTCTATCTAAAAGCTGATTTCCAGTCCTTATTTATACGTTACCAGTTGTCAAGGAGAACCTGCAGGCCTCAACCTTTCCTGTACTTGAGGACAGCGACTTCTCTGCAAGAAGTCTCTGTCTGCTCATCAATGGTGCTACTCTCACCTCAACAGTGTTCCGTTTCCAAAGGGCAGTGTACTTTGCTGTGGTTCCCTGTACAGTGCTGCACATCACACACTGCTGCGCTAGTTGAGTTAAATACTCATCACTTCTTCCATGTCTTTAGCTAACGCTACCGCTTTTGAGTCAGAAATGAACTAGATTTTTCAAGCAGAACTCAGATTGGATTTAACTGGCATTACCATTATTTAAATGCAGAGTTTAATGCAGTCTAACATTGACTAAGGACTCCAGTGATATAATGTGGTGCTTTATCTCAGAAATTTTATGGAACGGTGGCAGGAATGGATGGACAGTTTACCAGACACTGGTGACTTCAGTATGTTCCCAGAATATATGAGATACGTCAAAAGCAAATAATTTTGTATTTAAAATTTTTGTACTGATTTGAAAAAAAAAATATCTTATTAAATATCTTTAAAAATAAAACCAAAACCCAATTGTGTCTTCATTCAGAACCGACAGAAGGAACATCCAATCTGCTGAATTCATGGATCAGACAATGATGACTCTCTGAAAGCACTGAGAGTTGGACACAGGAAAGAAAGAAAAAGAAAAAAAAACAAAAAAGGGAGATACCCTTTTCTTTAGTTCCCAGCAAAACATGCCCTAAGCCGCTGGAGGCTGTGTTGTCCTGGAGACACATTTAGTGGGAGGGCTTGGCATAGGCTGGGTGAATGCACAGAGCACAGGGCTCTCTCAGCAGCCTGTGAGGACAGGCTGATGTGGGAGTGCAGCTTAAAAAGGCAGAGGGGCAGCATGAAGGAAGCAAAGGGATCCGCTGCAGAGGCATGCTAGCAAGGACTTGTGCTCACCTAGAAAGTCAGAACTGGCTGCCCAGGCTGAAAGATGCTCATCACATACCTGGTTCTCCTGATGCAACTTCCCCAATCTCACCTCAGAGACAGGGATTTTCCTCCAAGCTGGCAAACTCCTAAATTGTCCATATGAAAAGGAATGCACTGAATACCTACTGCATCAGGTAACTGATACCTAAACCTCCTTTAGATTCCCTTAAGCCCCTCAGCATCTCATTTTTACTGCACAAAAAGATTATGAACGTACCGCATGCAGTGTCTCTCACTATCTAAAGCCTTTCTCACTTTCTGAAGTCTTTTGTCACACACCATCTTCTTAGTTCAACATCTTTTCCTTTAGCATTCCCCTGAAAGTCCACAATAAGACAAGTGAGATTCAAAAAACCATGAAAAAAATTCAAATCACGACGATGCTGCTCTTCATCTTATCCACAAAAAACATGTCCCACCTTTGCTTGGGACTCAGCCTGGAGCGAGATCTCTACCCACAGTACAACTCAGTCCACCTGGGTTCAAAAATTTTCAGCAGTTTGCTCCACTAAGCACCAAAGTTTGTTCCAAAACTTGATATCATATTTGACAACGTATTTGATACATATTGGACACACCAGTCATAATGGGGCTGGGCGTACCCACACATCCACACTCACACACAGAGAGGTGGTCTTGGAAAAATAAGTCTGAGGGCACTGTCTTTTTAACAGTTTTATTCACAGGAAAATAATCTCTTTCCAAATTTGTAGCATTCAAAATTTCACTTGAAACAACTGTAACGATGTCTTCAAAATACAGTTGGCACTTTAAAGGCGTATAAAACTTAAGACAAATGGCAAATAAAATAAGTATTTACTGATACCAAAAACACGTTGAGTTGAGTATGTTCTTAAAAATCAGAGTCCACTTAAAAGTTAAGTTGTTGATACTACCCCCCAGGGCATTGTTAAAAAGGAAAGCATGGCATAGGAAACAAGAAGTACCACCTGCTCATTTTTAAATATCAAAGTTGCGATTCTGTATTATGACCACCAATACAGTCACTGGAAATGTAATTTAGTAACATCTTTTAGGCACTCTCAGATTCACATTTAGTGCAATAGTCCATGACCTTCCTTCTTAAATCATATCTCAGTACTTCCCTTAATTATTACAGTGGAGGAAACAGTACTTTCCCAACAGGAAACAAACAAACAAAAAACCCAAACCTGAAAGTCTGAGCCAAACAGAGCTTTCAGCTGACATGTGTCATCCTGCCTGTTCACTGCATATTTTGCTATCTTAGAGCTGGGTCTTTCTGACAGTGCAGTGTTTTGAAGGGGGTAGCAGATAAAACGCAGGAGCACCTTTGCTGTAAGATGCTGCTCTCTTGAAATGCAGCAGGCTGCTGGGGAACAGGACAGAGTAAGATGGGAGGAGAGCATCTCACTTCACAACTGATAGAGAAAGAAAAGTTATAGGAGACACTGGATACCTATATAGACACTGTTACGAGATGTGAAAATAAAGCTGGCAGCACCCTGGGATCCAAAACTGGTAGCTTTGCCCCTGATGTGATAAAAAAAATTGGATAGCTTATTAAGAGAAGTTGCAGTGCAGAGATTTCACTTTCAGGAATGGCAAAAATGGAAAAAGAAAGTCTTTATAGCACCTCACTCTTCAGAAGCAATCTAAATATTTGGAGTTAGCATTATTGTTTTTTAATAAAAGCCCAAAGTGAAGTCTTTGGTACTGCAGTACACCTGTGAAAATGTGTGCCCAGACAGAACAGACACTGTGATCTGTGAACACTGCTGAGACACTCACTACAAATGGGTATTCCTGCCTGAACAGTCAGTGCCAAAGCCATACGTGTCCTTGAGGCAGAGTAGCAGAAATTATGTGAAACAGGTGATGATCAAAGGCTGGCGTACACATAATCCAACCGAAACATCTTGGGGGGGGGGGGATTAATTTCTTGGCTCACTGCTTATTATTGAAGAGAAAAGCTACTGGTCTGCAAGATGGGCTTTCAAAAAAGTCTCATACCTTGTGGTTTATCAACAGTATCAGCTCTTGGCTCGGTCCCAAGTACACAGATTTGGTTCTAAATGTTACTCAGGTCACCCTGGGACTATAACAGGGGCATACACAGACTCAACACTCCTGCAGGAGCACAGAACTGGGGAAAAAATATCCCTGAGAGTACTGCTTAATTTCAAAAATAAGTCAGTCATATAAACAAAGACACATTTTAAAAAAGAAAAAGGAGAAGCAATATGGACAAATAACTGTAGACAGTGTATTAAATGCCTTGAGAATACCAAACGCATTATTTTAGGAAAAAAAACCGTATCTTAGGGAGACCAAAAAAGCTGATGGGATTAAGAAAAAAGAAGAATAAAAGAGATCCATTTTAAGTATAAAGAGTTTGGGAGACACCATTTGTTTGCCATGAAGCCTTTTTTTCAATTATTTTGTTTGTTCTGCTATAGTTAGAATCCAACTTCACCCTCCCACAAAAAGCAGAAAACCTCTTAAGAGAATTAGGCGATGGAGTCCGTTTAGATTAATGGGAAGAATATCTCTGAAGACAAAATAAAGCAGAAAAAATAACCACATCCTCAAAAGCAGAGCTCTCTACCCACTTCCTGCCACTGGAGACGGGTGTAGAAGCAGAAGGAAGCAGCTTGCTCCATCACAAGAACTCTCCTCACAGTATCTGGAGGAAATCCAACAGCTCTCCAGGAAAAAAAAATCTTTACAGACAGAATACTGAGAGGCATTACATGGATGCAGCTGGATCATGGCAGCAGCCATGGCAGAGCTGGGGGTCCCAGCTCTGGAAGAGACTGCAAATTTTGAGAGTGAAGAGGCAGCCCCCACTTCTGCCTGCCTCAGCTCTCAACAAAGTCTAACATTTACCAAGGACTTCTATGCAAAAAGAGCTTTGGCAACACTGCAGCCTCTGCAACAGCCTTACCATAGCATTGTTCTTACATGGAATTACTATTGCCAGCAATTTAAATCACTGCAGGTCTGGGGCTGCAGACTGACATACAAACTTTTTAATTAACTGAAATAACCAGGAGAAATAAATGCTGCTAGAGACGAAGACAGCACTGTCACTATTTTCTGTTTGTATTCAAATTTTTAAGCAAAGTTCTCCTAAAAACTTCAGAAACGTGCAGGTTGGCGGGGAAGGAAGACATATTAAAAAAAAGACTGAGAGCCCTTCTGCCACCTAGTGAAGAAATTGTGGTTTCCTCCATTTCCACCACCTGCTCCAGGGCCCTAGGACCTCCCAGGTTTCCTTCTCCTCCACACTCCTGCCTGCCACCCTGCACACGGCTGGACTGCAGCTGACAAGACACCACAGTACAGCCTGTCCCTTGCTGGGGACACATCTAGGTCCTTCAACACCCCATGCCACAGATTTTTCTGATATCCGGAGTTATTTCAGGTATGTCCAGCTTGCCTGAAACAGACCAAAGCTCAGGAGTCATGAGGTGAGAACAAAAGCCTCCTCCCCTTCAGCTGTGGCACCACTCTGAATCATACTGCCCTCGCTAATTCCCGAATGGCAGAGCCAAGGAGCTAAAGATGGAAATGAGAACTATGGGAAGGTGTGTGCTTGTTTGTTTCAAATACCTACCGCTCTCCCCAAGAGTAATCGAAAAAGAAAGAAGACTCTTTGGTTACTTCAATGGTTATTCCTCTACATTGCTGCAGCAAAGAAATTGTTTTCAGTGCTCTTGTAATCCTCAGCTTCTGAAAAGAAGAAACACCATGCTCTTGATCTATTAGAGGTTTGTATTCATACTACAATAGTTTGCATTACCCCTAAATGCACAATCTGTATAATTTTATTTAAAAGCAGCAAAGGTATTTACTGCTTTAAACTTTAAACCAACTTTAAACTTTTTTTTGGGGGGAAGTGGACTTCTTTATATTTTTTTTTAGATATGATTGATTAAGATAACCACAAAACCTTCCAACAAATCTGCCACAATTAAAATAAAAACTTCATATACACACCCTGTGCAAGAATTAGAAGAGTGTATTACTTGTTGTTCTTTGACAACTGTCAAGTGCATTCCCATGTAGACTTAATTTATTCAGCAGGCTTGTCAGAGACAAACCAATACAGAAAACATAAACATCCCATTAAATGTTTCAATTAATATCAGTAAATTCCCACTGCTAAATGATTTAGTTCAGCCACATACTTTAAACCTAAATGTCAGGACAGGAGAGGTAAACAGATGCCAAATGATAATTCAGCTGAGGTACATCTTGGATATTCCTTACCACACCCTACTGCCAAAAATGGGAGTATTCATGCAGGGGAGTATTGATGCATTTCAAAGGTGGAAATGCATTACAGCATCTGAAGAAGGAGATTGTGCTCATTTGGAAAAATCCACCTCAGTTCTTGGGGAGCAAACAGAAAAATACATGACATCCTGCTCTGGAGACCTAGGAATCCAACAAGCATTGACTCTAAACTCAGGCGTGAACATCTGTCCCAGCTCACGTTTCCATTATGGTCTGGTGCCTGACACACTGGCAGTTCGGACAACTCTTCGGTCTTCACACTCCCTCTTTTGTAAGTCAAGTCAGCAACTGTAACATTTACTGGATGCACAGCACAGGGAATATGATTCTTCCATAAAACCGGTACAACACAAGCATTGTAAAATCAACATCTCCACAAACTGGACCAAAGGGTCTTCACCTTTGGTGAAGGCAAACAGCAATTCAGAGTCGATGGGCAGCGCACAAGCTGCGCGTGCCTTCTTTGCTGACGGTGGACGTCCTCTCCTCAGGAGTACAGCAGACCAAAACCTGTACGCTCTGTATGTCCACCCTTCTCCAAAACATACAGTAATTATTTATAGGCATAGTTTTGAAGCCATTTCCACACTACAAGACAGATATTCAATACTTTACATCCATCTACTAATTAAACACTGGTCATCTCAGTCTCTTGACAGTGGAACCCTTTTGAAGGACATCATCATTTGGAAAGAGTTCTCACTGATAAATAAGTGATGTTCATCACATTTTTTTATATCCCTGATACTTCCAGCTGAAAGTTTCATGGTTTTCCCACTATTAAATAGCTTCACAGAAATTCAGTTGAGTCTGTTTGCAGTAGTCCATTACCCTCAGGCTTAGAAGAAGCTTCTGCCTTGGCGAGGTTTCTGGGCTCCTTTTAAACAGTAAACAGTTATGCTGCACTTAAAAAATAAAAATGTCATACAAAAAATAAAAATTTTTCAAATCTTGAAAATAGTGATTCTTCTTTGTATTTTCCATTCAGCTTTCACGTCAAATTGACCACAAAGTTCTTGTCTATAAGCTTCTTCAAGAATGTCTGCTCAGCACTGATGTTGTGATATTCATTCTAAAAAGATGTGAGGGAATAATGAAAAAAAAATAAGTATCAAATTATAACCAGAAGCACCACTTCACTGTTATCTTCTTTTTATTACCTGTGATACTTGGAAGATGCTAAGAGTATGAAAGTTCTGGGGAAAAGACTTCTTACCAAAGGCTTAGCATAGTCTCTCAAGGAAACAAGGGATTATTGCTCAAAACTACATTAGATTTTTCCATTAGGACACAACCAAGAAGGATGATTCCTTTGGTGGTAAGAATGGGCGAGATGTGGTCTCAGAGAATTCCTTCCATTATTAAGTCTCTCAACTCCTCACTCTGCTTAGAGATAACAACTGAGTGACTACATTTACAGCACAAGCAGTGAGAAAACTGGTAATTCTCAAAACTCATTGCAGGTTCTTGAAAAGCACATCAGATGCATCCTGCCAATCAGTTTCAGCAAGCCAAAACCAACCCATCTTCTGTGTTGTACCCAGATCCTGGACACACAGGAGACCACTGAGGTTAGTGGAGGGCAGCACAAGGAAAGTAAATTTACTTAGGCACCGAATCCAGTAAATTAAAATGAATATAATAAAAATACTACATAAAATACTATACATATGTAGTATAATATTTGGAACTTAATGACACTGAAGAATTAACAGTAAGATTTTTGTTTAGTAGTTTTTTGAAGTTTAAAGATTTTAGGAAACTTATAGATGTCTATAAAACTAATGATCAGCCTTACTCAAGCTTAGATACACACTGCAAAACAGCACATGCAGAGAGGAGCCTCAAAATGAAGGTGAGTTCAGTGTTAGAGGAAAATTATCTCAGAACAGCAGGCACCTAGGAGTCCTGAGAGAGACATGAGAGGCTCTTACAGGCACTGTCCCTATCCATCCTCTTCAGGAAAAGGAAAAAGAGGAAAACAGTGCCCACTTGCTCTGGGCAAATGGAAGAGAAAACTTCACACTGAGGTGAAGGGCTGAGATGGGTTGCTGGGAACACAGAGCCAAAGGCAACTGAAGACAAGAGTAGAGACATAAAAGAAAACAGATGCATGACCATGGCCAAACAGCAGGGAAGAGAGAAGGCATCCCTGATGTTTGCCAGTCTCCTGCTGCTTCCTCTTCTGTTAAATTGTGGCTTCCCCATCCTGGAAGCAGTTCCTTCTCTTCCTACTCTCCTCCAAGATCTGCTTTTCTTTTCTGCTTTCCATTTCCAAAATTCAGTTCTCTTCCTAACTGCAAATTCCATAGGTCTTAACTCCTTCCATTTCCCTTGCTCTTCTTTCTGTCTTCTAAGGGGTTTGGCAGCTATGACAAACTGTGCAAGCGGGTGCCAAGGAAAAAGAGAATGCAAACAGAAACACCACCACTCACGTTCTGACAGTGCTAACGAAGACATCTCTGTGACACGAGTTGTGCAGCTAAAGGACAACATCAGCAAAGCAAAAACGGAACACACAAATGGACATATCTCATGCAGACACTGCAGAATATGGTGCAGCACAAGGGACACAAATATCATTATCTACATTCTTCAAAAACAAAAGCAGAGGAGGAGAGTCCAGCAATGTTAACCCACAAGCAGCTGAACCAGGAGAAGGCAGGAGGCTTTCTGACCTGCAGTCCACACTTCTTATCTATATTAAGTTGCCTTCCCCAGTTACCAGCTATAATTCTCTCAGCACAAACACGTTAAGAGTTACCTGGATCATCTGAGACATGGTTTCGTTGCCATAGTAGTGCAAAGAACTGTTTCTGTCAGAGAAGTCATACTTGAAGCCTGCCAGGTGGACTTCGTGGCATATGTGAAATGCTAGTGTAATGGCAATCAGTCCTGTTGTTGGATGCTTGGGTTTCTAAAACAAAACACAGAGAGAACACATACATAAACACACCTGGAAGCTTGATGGGAACAGTAAACTTAATAACAAAGGAAATCAGGCAGTCAGGAAATCAGACAGATGTCTGGTTTCATAGTTTGATCCCCTCATGTCTCAAAAGAGGAACGTGCTGCCCAAAGGTTTCCCATGACCGAGGTGTCTGCCATGTCAGCCTTCCCTGGGATTCTCTGGTTTCTGGTTAGGGCCAAGCCTGAGGTGTAGCCCTTCCCTCCACAGAGGCATCAGGAAGGTCTCTCCATCACTTGCTCCACAAACTACTGAACTCTGCTCAGCTACTTTCATGAAGCTGGTCAGGCTTCATTACATTGGAGACCATCTCACCCATCAAGTATGACTGAATTACCAGATGCGTTCAGAAGTTTCTAGATAATGGAGACCCAGATGAACAGAACATGACATGCCTCAAATCTTCGCAGCATCAAACTAAAAAAGTATGAACAGTACCACCACACAAATTTGACTGAATTTCAATTTTTTCAAAGCAGGGAATTTCCAGAAGACCATTGCTTTAGACCTTCCCCCACAACTGCTTATTTCTCCCTACAGTAAGAAAAGCTCAGAAGTAAATGCAATGTAAAATATCAAGAGCAGGTCATAAGCAGGTTTTAACTGTGCAAAATTAACAACACCTGACCAAAAGCTAGCACTTCTCACAAAAGCACAGAACAACTCCATGCAGCCATCTGCCCTATCTTGTGATCAAATACATTACTTTTTCAGCAGCAGGAGCTAATATGATCCAGGGAAGTAAATGAGGCAAGGTTTTTCAGAGAGGTGAACTCTTTCATTAAACCAACAGATGAAGTTGAGGTGAAAAAGTGTCCTCAGAAATGGACAAAACTTGCAGGTACCAATACTCTTCTTAGCTAAAATAACACTTTTCTCAGAGACCAAATGAACTACGTGCTGTCGGTAACTGCAATCAAACATCAAGCTGAGCACAAAATGAGGTGGGTTTTTTTAAACTTTTACCCAAGGCTCACTTCGTTTGTCTCCAAAAACAAAGCAGACAAACCAGTACTGGACATCTCTGTGCAGAGAGAAGGCAGACACACTCGATGCATTTCTTTGTATCACATGATAACACAAAAAATCCCCAGGAAAATGCTACTATTCTCAGCTCTGCAAGTCTATTTAAAGTCATAGAACTGAACTATCACCTTTTATGTAGAAGTTTTTTGTTCCTTTACACAACTTTTAGAGTACTCCAGAAATAACATCTGCTTCAAATGTGCACTGTTGCTCAGGGCTCCTGCCAGTTAGCAAAATAACTTTCTGCCCTAGGGGCCCAACTTCATAAACTCAGTGGTGACTCTGTTGCAACATCCATATTAAACAGGACCCCAAAACTATGGCAGGAATGCTACACTTCAGGATTAGTGCTATTTGGAAATATCAGGAATATCATGTTTTTAACTAACACTGTTCACCTTTGGCTATCATAAAACTCACCTCAAAAGAATACAGTTTAAAAAGCAACTACTTTTAAAATGTATTATCATGACACCACCCTAGCAACATCCAGACATCCCCAGCCTGTAATGAAATTTTTTCAGCCAGTCACATTTAACAAGAATAGGAACAGCCTTGGAATGACTCCTCAACACTTCCTGACTTCAGCGCTGCTTGAGGCAACACATCCAATTTTATTCCTGGCTCTACTAACAATCAGAAATGCTTGCTGGCTATGGACAGTGTGCACATTGAGAACGTAAGACTGGCTTAATGGAAGCGGCAGGGACAGCTGGGAAAGCAGCAGCAGTCACTGGTGTCTCCCGCAGGCAGAGGGGGCTGAAGCACAGGGCAGGGAAGGCAGCACCAGCCCTCCCTGCGGACACGCTACGGTACAGAGGGCCCCGAAGTGAATTCTGCAAAAGATTGTTCTGCCCACGGGAACCCAAGAGGCACAACCTGCAGCTTAACCGAGCTGTGCCAGGGCCACTGCAGATGTGCAGGCTCTCAGCCACGACCCGCCTCTAGGATGGGAGGGAAAGTGAGGAAGAGCCTGCCTTAGACTGATCATTGCCGCCCCAGGGACAAGGGACTGCAAAACCCCTGGGAAGGAGCAAATGGAAACTGGAGGTGGCAGAAGGGGGCTCCAAACACAGAGGGCTCCAAGCTCTACCCCAGCTCTGTGCAGGGGCACCTAGAGAGCAAAGGGCAACTGAGGGACCTCTGCCTCTGTACCAGCCTCAGGACACCAGCACACTTCTCTGACTCACTGACAACACTGGTTTTAACATCTACACCAGAAGAGACAGGAGAGATTTCTGGACCCATGAAGGCCACAGATGTCCTCATTTAAGAGATAGTTAGGCATCCAATTATTATGCTGCTTTCTTCCCTCCCTCGGCTGAAAAGCTGAAATGCCACAGAGCCTCAGCAAGCACACAGCCAAGATGGCTATTTCAGTTGCAGAGCTAATAAGGGAGAAAAAAGCCACTATTACACTCAAAAAACAGACTGAAATTTTAAAAAGAGGAAAGAAAAGGCAAAGAAACTCCCAGAAACAAACAAACAAATGAAAAAAAAATCTCAACTCCCTCAAAGATTAGAAAGGTTAAACCAAAAAAAACAGTTGTGGCAGATACTGCACAGTGACAGCCTGTCAAACGTTTCCACACGTGTCAGTTGGCTGGTGCCGATGAAGCTGCGATGCGACCCCAGGGAATTGTATCTGTGCTAAACAGCACGTGGTCAATCCTGACTGCACAAGGGAGGTCTCCAGCTTGAATCCTTGCCTTTCATCAGAAACATTCTTCAGTCATAAACTGACACTTAAAATGTATTTTTATGTCCAAATTGCTGGTTAGCTCATTACAATGCTTGGCAACAAATCAGTAAGCACAACAATGCTGCTAGACATATGTCATTAGCACAGGGCTGGAATATCCTGCATGTTCCCTAGTCCATCCTCGGAAGTGTGAAATTGCAGCAGTGTTAGAATTACCAGGTTGTTGGGGTTTTGGGGGTTTTGTTTGTTTAGTGTGGGGTTATTTTTGGTGTATTGTTTTTTCGTGGGAGGTTCAGTAGGGATTTTCTTCCCTATTTGTTGTTTTGTAGGGTTTGGTGGGTTTTGTTTTTAAGAAACACTATAAAACACCCAACATTCAATAATTCAAGACTTCCTACTACTTCTAGAAGCTCTTTGGATTGTCCATGTTCCATTACCTGCCCATTTTTCCCAATTTTGTAAGAGACATTATGTCTCTCTGGAAAGTGGTCTCACGTCATACCAATTACAGAACCCATAAAAAATGGTTTTGACACACAAGGATAGCCACTCTCTTTCTGGATTCCATTTTCACATCTTTTCTGAGCACCATCTAAATGCAAACTACTTTAATGCAAACCTGAAAGATTTTCTAATACAGTCCACTGTAATAAAGATATAATTGCCTCTAAGTACACATTTGGTGACTCAAAACTAAAAGGCAATGAAGAAAAAAAGCCTACCTCCTTCTTAGGAAACCTTGTTGGGAAACGAAGCCACTCATAAGCTGTTTTCCTGGTGATGCTGGGATCAAGAATCCTGATTTGACTAGATTTGTATATCATATTCTTAGCCGGTTTCTTCCAAAAGCCTTTATCACTCTGTAACAGGCAAGTAAATACACATTTTTAAGGGTTATAAACAGCTGAATTTAGTTTTGTAGCTAACCAGAGTAAACTCCAAGGGCATGAGGTTAAGGAAGGAGTGCTGAACCTCCAGAAGTTCAAACACACCTCCTGCAATGGGATAAACCCACTGCAGCAGCAGAGGTTGGGTACAGCTGGCTGGAAAAAGGCTTTGCAGAAAGGTCCCTAATGGACAACTCATACCAACAGCATGCCCTGGAAGCAGTAAATGTTCACTGTGTGCTTGGACACATCAGGTACAGCACAGACAACAGGCAGACAGAAGTTACTGTTCTCAAGTACTTTGTACTGTCTGAAGCAGGCATGGCAAAACACCAGACAGTGCCAGGAAGAGAATAAAAATATATTTCCCAGAGGAAAACTGCTTTGTGGTGAAGAATTGATCAAATATGTGCATTAGAAAGAAGACAGAAACATTTATGGGAAGGATTTTAAACAGACTGACTAGGAGATCAAGTGCTCCACTGAGCTAGGAGAACTGAGGTTAAAAGCAAACATGTATTTCCCATAAAAGGTGTGCAGCAAGATGAGCCAAGGTGCACGAACAATTAAACTCACTATTTTCTGACCACTTAGGATCTTCCAAATCCACTTCAAGTCACGTGGTTTGAAGACAACGAGAACAACAGTTGTATTAGGGTCGTAGTGGATCGGATCTGAGAAGATAGATTCTGGGTAAGAAAGGCGGAAAGTTGTCCTCCTCCCAACATCCTCTTCGTACCCTATAACGGGGCCATTATTCATTCTGCAGAAGGCACAGGACAGAGACACACAGACATCAATGACTACCCCACCACATCCTTACCATGCCGTGTCTGGCACACACATTAGTCCGTGGGACAGACAGCATGTCCAGGGACAGGGAAGTTTACCAGCCCAGCATTTACTTATCACATTACATAGTAGATGAGCAATTATCAGGTGCACTCACCCTCTAAGCTCAGAGGGATCAAGCACATATGGGATCTTGGCCAAGGTGGTTTAGAACACAATCACACAATTGCTTATCATGTGTCACTCAAGCAGAAGGCCTTCCGATTTGGCTCACACACAGAAACTAGAGAAGGGCAAAGAAAATATCTGGCTTGGAGAAGCACCCATTGCTCCAGGTACACAATTTGAAAAGGAGATACCACGTACCTTATTATGACGTCATATGAATCAATTTTCTCCCCTAGTGTTTTATTTCTAAGTACTCCTCCATTACCGACCACAACACACCGACGACAGGCAATGCTGTGGAACAAACAGAAGTTTTAATATTCATTACTTCCCTGGATTCATATTATTAATTATACATCTGCATTTAACTGGCTTATTTTCTAATGAAGGTTCTGTATCTGTTACCGTCCCAGCCCCTACAAAGCAGATTCGATCCTGTATCATCTACTATGGCTGCTTTCAAAAAAAGAAAAAGTAGCTGCACTATTTCAAGGACTGGCAAAGTCAGGAATTGGCTTCTCTCATGTGAAACTGTTGTTACACACATCATTATTCTAGTGGTTTGCTGTTTAAGATCATCTAACCAGTTGGTGATATGGGGGTCATTACATAAATTATCTTCCACAGCATTTCAAATTTATCCCAGTCTGGGGGTATCAACCAGGACAGAGTATGTCTGGAAAAACTAACTCAAATTAGGGTGCTCCACAGCATTGTATAACTCCATAATTCAGGAGATCTCCAAAATGAGCTAAAGCACCAAGATTTATGTTCACAATTTACCTTACAGACTGTACATGTGAAAAACCTTCACCCAATGACATGTGATAGCTTTTCAAATGAATATGATCTTGATTTTTCTCCCTTTACTTAAAAAGTGCTGTCTAAACCCATTTCAACATGTGCTGAATTTCATGCTGTCATAATGTAACAAGGCAGATTCATTTGATTAAAAGTTGCATTCTCATACAACCAGATTCCAATCAGACAGCACCACTAACCATATAAAATGCTGCAAGTTAAAAATAAGATCTTAAAAGCTACATCAAATCAAAACTGTAATTCGTTCTGAATTTACATATCAAGAGTACCCAAAAAAGGCATTATATAGATGTTAAACTTATGAAAATAAATTCTAATGTTAAGACTTTCAAAGTTATCCCAGGTTTTCTATGTGCGTACTTTGCTCTCTAATGTCTTATTACAATGCTAGTAAAATGTGTGCTTTGTTTAAAAAAAAGAAAAAATAAGGGGGAGCTCACAGACAAGCTTGCTGCTTTTTTACTCAAGATATTTTGCCTTTTTAGAGAAGGTTTACATTCAATATATAAAACTGTGAACTCCTTCTTATAAAATAAGCACAAGGTTTTTTGTTGTTGCAAAAATGTTTCTTTATTTAGAGCAAAAGCTGTTCAATTTGGTTGCAGCAGGAGCACTGGGAAAATGAAAATGCTGGTATTTTCTTCAGACAGAAGCTCACAGTTTGTTTACTGAGAATGAGTCACCTCACAATGTCCCACTCTCTTGGTTCTTTCTTCAGGTAAGAAAAAGGTTCTATGTCATTTCTTGCTCTATGTTTGGGACACCGAGACTGTGTCCCAAAGAATACTATAACTGGTATTAAATGCCCAGTGTGGCACTTTATGCACACTAATTAACATTTTTCTCCTCAGATAGTCCAACCTGTTTTGTCAGCTGAGAATATTATCCAACATCAATGAAAACAGCCTGCTCCACCCAAGACCGACCAACATCTCAATGTACAAAGCAGTTCTCTGTACCTCCTACAGAATTAACAACATTTGCAGAGGGAGTTGCCTTTAAATATATATAAATATAAATAATGCTGTAAATGCAGCTTTCAGGGTTGGTGACATGGAAAAACACCTTTCTTTAGTGTTTCCTGAACAGCTTAGTAGAAGGCAGGCATTCATAAAAAGATTTCCAACTAATACCATAAATCATGTGACTTGGTACCTCGGAAATAAGAGGGGTAAAAAAACCTGTTACACCATCCTGTCCCTCAGTATGCCCAATTCCTCTACACCCATAAAACCCCTCCACCTCTCTACTCCTTCAGCCCATTCATTTTCCATTTAGCTTTTATATCTAGTTTTAAGATATCCTGAGAAAGCAGGCTGACAAACATATGCCTCTTACAAAGCAGACAGTAAGAGAAAGCAGAAGTTGCCCTTTTCCTGAATTACACTTTGTTACACCTACAGCATAGAGCTTAAAGTAAGGAAGGAAAAAGGAAAACAGGAAAAAAAAAAAAACTTGATAAGTGATGAAAGTGGAATGAGGGAGTGGAGCAAAAAGCACAGAATTATCATAACGGTTGTACCGCGTTTTCCTGGCATTTACAGCGTGCATCTGTAAATCACTGAAAGTTTCAATCACCTCAAATCTCTGAATTCATCATCACCAAAAGTCACGTGGTTGCACCTGGGTAACTGAGGCACAAACCTCATCTCCACAATGTAAATCCTAAACTGCAACCCATACTCCATCTCCCCCTGCTCTCTCCTGGCTACAGCATCGATCCCTTATGCTTCGTGGATATCCTGGAGTGACAGTGACTGACACACCATGCATGAACTCATGTCAGGTCTCAATAAAAAGCCAGAAAAACTACTTTTAATTTTGCCAAATACTTTCTTTTATGCCCTCTGACTGCTTGGTGTGAACTCCCAAAAAGAGTGTCGACTCCGTTACAAGTGATTTGTATTATTCTGACCATGACAAGCAGCCACAAAGTTACTTTGAGGAGGCACTGTTTGTTCTGTCCCTTGGAGATGAAGAGATTATTTACACACCTTTCAATTCTCGGCAGAGGCTGTGCTTTAAGAAGCTTCTTCACTGAGTTAATACTTAGCTACTGAAATAATGCCTCTCGGTCTGGCATACAACTGAAGAGCTCTTTGGTTTCTCCTCTCTGCAATCATAATGCACCAGGACACACTCAGGGCAGGGAGGGCTAAATAAAACCTGACCTGAGCCGAGCAACTGAGGTTCACTTAGCTATGGAAGCTGTGCAGCTGCTCTCAGGTCAAATCCAAACTCTCTTTCCTCTTACTGACAAATGCAGACCAGATTTTTTGTTTGTGATTAAGAGCTGACTACTTGGACAGAAAACGACGTGACATTTGAACTTTGATTAATCTTTTGAACTCCAGTTCGCTTTGTAACATGCATACTCAAAAATCAAGTTATCAGCTGCCTTCAAATACCCAATTAAATGTCTAACATTGGTATTTGAACTTTTGAAATGGATAAGGTCAATATGCAGATCAAATATTCCTGGAGAACTGTACATGAATGCAGTCAAATACAAACAAATTAATTAGAATGACCAGCTTTTAATCTCTGCCAAGCTCAGGCAGTCAAAGTAGCCTAAAAGAAAAAGTCAAACAGGAAGTAAGGCACAAATGTGTTATTTTGGAATCGCCTCCTTCCCTTACCTTTCCTCCCCCCCGCCCAGTATTCAAGTGTCTTCAGTTACAATAGTAAATCTAAGTCCTCCGTAACACAGAGTCCACTGACAACAATAAGCAGTGAGGAAAATGATTTACGTAAAAAATAGAACATAATATCATAGAAACTAACATATGACATGGAGATAAAGGACACATAGCGAGGCTGGATAGTATTCAAAGATACTTAAGTTAAATAAACTGACCCATACTTACTACAGATCAGAGAAGTCAACACATCAATTTTCAGCAGACTGTTACTCCCAGATATTCTGCCAACCTCACTTTTTACAAGTTTTCCTTTTACATAATGTTTTCAAGTTAAAAACCCCCAAACACCCACCCTTTCTCCAAGTCAATAAATGGACAAGAAGAGAAATAAATTCAGATGTCCTTAAACAACATCAAGTGTGCTACAAGTGAAATATAACAGACTGAAGTACCTGGAGGTTCAGCTTACAATCACCAGCACAACATTCATGACAGTATTCATGAAAAATAGTAAGACCTTGGCTGTAAAAATAGCTATAGCAAAAGACTGAGTGACTAAGGGATTGCCTTTAAGTGTCAGAAATCTACTTAAGAGTATAAACGGATCCTGATGCACACAGCATGGCATCTGATCTCCAATGTCTACACGCACCAGTCATTCAAACCACTGCCCTATTCATGCGGTGTACAAGAGCCTCAACCTCAAGGCCAGGTGTTAGTTTACATGTTTTGTTTATACGGTAAAGTGCTAAAAGGAACATTTTCCTACTCTACAAAAGCAAAATATTGCTAAATGGAAATTTAAATGCCTTTAAAAGTCAAGAGGCTTGCACCATCCACATTCCACTGAAATACTGTTTCTGTGGAAAAAGATCTCAACCTCAGTTCCTTTGACACACCCCCCCTTATAGTCAGTTGAGGAATGCATATTATTTCCTTTGAGGTTATTTGGTGAAAGGAGGATGCAGAGGTCATATTTTGTTGACTCAGGATTGTGTAAATGTATTTGTAATAACTGTTGAACTTAAGAGTCCTGAGAATACCCAGAGAGGAACTGAAGTCACAACTGGAGTCAGTGACACTGTTCATTTCCAAACAGTTTTGGAGAACTACACCTTTACACAGTGAGAGCTCGACCTAAGTTTGGAAAATAGCACTGTTTGGAAAAAAAAAAATCCCTTGTAGCTCATTACATACAGTTTTACTTAAGTCGTACACAAATACAGCCACAGATTTGGTGCTCATACAGCCTAGTATTTGTTCAAACAGCTCAGAGCAGATTTCCCCACTCTGATTACAAAAATTTTTAAAGGGAAATTTGGTTTGTGTTCTGATGAGAAGGTTGAATTAGGCAACAGCATTACAGAGCTGCCTAATAATTTTGTACTACTGGAGAATTTTGTCAGAATTAATTCCCAAAACATTTCAGTTTTAGAAGTAATTGCATCTCAGAGTAATGTATATATATATATAAGTTCTTCCCTACTACAGTGATTCATACCCTAAGAGTGCTATACACAAAACCTGATGGATCTAGAAAGAATATAAAATATGAACTCACTGTGAATTTGATTTGTTTATCCTACTGCCTATTAAATAGTAATAGCTCTCATTTTGCTTCAGTACAGCTGAACTACATTATTTTTAATAAAATGAAGCCTATTTCCCAGAACTATCAAAGGATAAATACCAATTACCTTGCTTCTCATCTACAGGACAGACACATTTAACAAGTACTATGCTGTACTGGAAGCATCTCTGCTTTACAGCCTGAACAATTACAGAGCTGAACTTATGACTTCAGAAAATTTCTAATACAACATTTTGGCACTCTCCTTCAAACTTCAGACAAAAAAAAAGCTTTTTCAGCCAGTTCTGTATAAATTTCCTCAATTATCACACTTCTAATAGAAGATGGGGGGGTAGGATACCTTTGTTTTTCCCTTTTCTTACGAATAAACCTGAACATCCTAGAAACAGATACTGAACATAGTGAAAGGAAGGAGTACGGTAAGCAAAGAAAAGAAAAAATGGTTATTAAAACCAGTTCTTAAGTGTGAACACATTCCACCCAAGTTAGATTAAAATGTGATCCTGACATTTGGCTTGAAGTAGCAATCTTTGTATGATCTCCTGAATTAAAAAAAACCAAAACCAAGTACAGCCAACTTCAGCCTTATTTACATTCAGCTCTATTAAGAAGTCTGTGTATTAACATATTTGGCAGGCTGTCAGCCAGTTTGCTAGACTGCAAATCTAAAGAGTCATTTGCACCACTCTGTAAACACAGGATTTTAGTCTACTTGCCAACACTATTATACTGCCTCTAAGAAAACCCCAACCAAAACCAAACCAAAAAGAAAAAAAAAAAAACACCAACAAGACACATACATGCAGAAAAGATCCTCCAAAATCAAACAAAAAGTCCTGGCAGAAGTGGCCTCTAGCAAGAGGCTTAATCAAGGTAATCTAATCCATGGGAAGCAGGTTATCTCAAGCACGGTCCACTCCATGCCACACCCTCGTTACTCCAAAAACGAAGGAACTGCCTTTCCTGTCTGCCTACGCCTCCCTCATTCACAAGGGAAGGAAGCTGAGTACATGTACCAAGAAGGGTGTGCAGCAGCCACAGGATGCAGAGGCACAGGGATATGCGTAAGATTTCTTTTACCCAGAAGCAGCCAGTGGTTTCCATCTGCTTATCTCCAACAGTATCCATCTTATGCTAATAATGACTTTGAAAGCAGAGATCCAAGATACTATGGAAGATGGGACCACATTGAGCCAGCAAATTCCTAACACACTTAAAAAAAGAAATCTCTAAGTTTAAGCTCCTTCACAGAAAAATTATTCTGGAATGCTGGTGCTACGTGTGTAAACTCAAGCTTATTTAATTTTTGGAATCGGTTACACATTGCTTGGACACTGTTGGTCCGATCTGTAATCCCGGTTAACTCGGGCAATTTCATGATAATGCCACTGGCATTCCTTTTCAGGTAAGTACCAAATATACAACATGCAATTAACAGAAACAGTATCAAATAAACCAACTCACTTGTCATCTTCATTGGGAAGTCCACAGCTCTGCAGTCTTGAAAGGGCTAAACGAAAAAATTGCTCTAGAAAGTAAATATAAAGAAGATTAATGAAAACATTCAGTATTTGCCGATACAAAAATAAGCATGTCACCCTGACTACAGTATTTTCATACACAGTAGTTTTACATTCACTGTGCATTAAAAAATCAACGTAAAAATACTTGAAATTTAGGGCCACAGGTCAATCAATGATGCCAAAGAAATTCAGATTTATCAGAGCTCCTCTCAAGTTTATCCTGTCCCAGTACTTCCCTGTTGGAAAATATCATAGGATTTGTATAAAAATAAATCCTAGTTACAGTAAGTAAGGATTGGAAGAATTTCCAAGACCTACATCCTAACTGACTTTGTTTTTTCTTCTACCCACCTTCAGATGAAACAGAAGCAGCCGTGACCCAAGAGGGGTCATACAGCCAGGGACAGTAAAAACATTACCTATCGTGGAAGAAGACATCAAACCAGCCTGTGCCCGCTGGCAAAGCTGGGTAAAGGCATCTTCCCAGCCCTCCCTTGGTGGGCAGCCTCCTGATGGGTATTCAATTTGCCTCCTTCCTTTGAGAGGAAGTCTCAACTCATTCCCAAATGTGCTTTTCCACTGTAAACCCAGAGGTGCAGGAAAATTTGCACCATCCCTGTTACACTGATGGAGGTCAAATCAAGAATCTAAAGCCGGGACCTGCAGGGTACTTGGAAGGTGCACTATTCAGTGTTAAAAACTTGAGACTTCTTGTGCACCTGCTCGCTGGCAGAGTATGGGAAACTGAAAAGTCCTTGACTTAGGGTAAGCACTACTTAGAAGTAAGTAAAACATCCATGTGTTAGCAACACAATTCTCATGCTGAATTCAAAACACACAGCACTAAGAAGAAAATTAACTCTATTCCAGCCAAAATCAGGACAGTCAAAGGAAAATGTCACTGATGTAACTGCCCCAACCTGAGGACTTCTGCCTCAGTAGGACACCATATGCCAATCATCTTAGGGTTGCTGAATGAAGCCCATCACACTGACCAAGTTAATATCTGACCTAGTAAATCACTAGCTACATATCTTTAGCACTCCAGACCACATACAAACAAAAGGAAGCTGAATAAGGTCAACTCTTCCTCACTCCCACCTTTTTGGAGCTCCTCTAGTAAGAGGGGCAACCCCAACAGGGTGTTTTATTTGTTAGAAACAAGAAGGTGTCAGGTCAGAGGGAGGAAACAGAACCATTGAGTCAGTGCTAGACACCCCCAAAAGAATTGGCATCAGTTAACAGGAAAGACCAGGTCCAGATTCAGGGGCCCTACAAGCCATTTAGTAATTTCTGTTTAAAAACAAGGTACATGGGAAACACTAACCTGCTCTCTTTATTCCATAAGGTAGTTCAAACTTATCGCTCCCTTGGAACTCTGCCACCCTCATAAAATCATTAGCACACAGGAATGGGTATATTTTGTCAACACTGAAAAAGAAACAAGTTTCAAAAATCCACATGATGCATCTGCATAAGCAAATAATTCATGCAATTGCTTCATAAAAAGCTTTCTTTATCCTATTACTGTGATTTTTATCCTATTACCAGCATCCATTTTTAGAAGGAGGAAATCCATGAACACAGGGAAAGCAAGCAGATGACAGAAAAGGGGAAGATCTTAGAAAACGTAGGTAAAGAGCGAGATAAAAAATTTGTTTGCTAGTGTAAGTTATATAGAATCATTAAAATTGTGTGACTGAAAGCTTACACCATTAGCCCATATATTCAAGAGAATACATGACCCAGGAAGACAATGAGTAACTTCAGGTTTGAAAAGTACAAAACAGAGGCAGCAAGGAGAATTAAGAGTTAGTACTGTATATGGCAATTTAATAAGTAAGAATGGGATTTGAAACAAGGTGTTTTAACTTGAAAATACCATCTCCTGTCTGAGATGTACTCCCATTCCAAACAATGGCTCTGCTGATATTAATAAGTAGTTCGGGGTAACACAGGTACATCCATACTGCAGAAAAGTATGGAGTTCTCATGTCCACGTTACATGCATATTGAGTATTTTTTATTCTGGACTAATTCTGATCAGGTCCCATGGATTGAACACCCCTCAGCAGCTGCAGCACATCGGGGGTGATCCTGCAGTGCATCTTCTGGTTTAACCAGATGTGTGAAAGAAGCCCAAGTGCACACGTGCCAGGGCCACCCTGGGAAGAGAAGCACGACCCAAGGGGATCACAAGGAGGTTTGCCTCAAAAGCACATCCTTCCTGCAAACCAGAACACGACAGTATGATGCCTTGTAAGCGTCAAGCTAAAAAGAATAGGTCACTTCTTTCTTCAAAAGACAGGAATCTCAGACAAGGAATATCTCGGAGCAGGGAAAGGACTCGTATTACCTTATCTGCCCAGTCCAGGCAAATGAACAAACAGCAGACACAAACATGTCACATGCTACCATGCCCTTGGCTTCACCTTTGAATTAACTAAGCACACACTCACTGTACTGGTTGACTTTGTAGTGATCCTGCATATGAGGTCTTACATTAAAATGTTAACACATACAGTCATGAGAAAACCTAGTGTTAATTATAAAAACTCCCAGCCAGCACAGACTTGTTTTTTCATGAAGAATATTAACAGCTGTTAAGAAAACCTTCACTCGCAGTTTCACAAATCAAGTATTTCACTCTTTACGCTCTACATATTCAGAAGATACTAACAGGAAATAGGAAAAAAAAAAACAAACACCACAGCCTACACACCAAGAACTGGGCCATAGGTTAACTAAGCAAGACCAACTAACTTTGAGACATGACGCACTAAACACCCATACTAAATTTAGTAACTTGCCTTGCTGTTCAGAAGCAGCTGGTAAGCTTAGACATAATAAATAATTTACCTACTGCAAAGAGATTCTTAATTCCAGCTCTTCTAGCTCTGGTTCCTTTCCAACAAATAATTCTGCAAGGTTAGAAATCCTTTCAACCTCCCCAGGCTATTAGCAAAGTGCACAGAACAGAGCTGAAGCTCATGCAAATTGTCTCAGTAAAGGAGCTACGGAAATGTATGAAAGACTTTGCCCTCACTCTGCATGTAGCTTCTTGCTGTGCACCTCTGAGTCCATTCCTGCACCCTTGTTGAGCACCAGAGCTGTCCTGCTGAGCCCAACACTCAGACAGCCTGGGCACAATCGCTGGGCAAGGGGAACTAGGACCACCCGACTGGACCAGGAGCTAAGCAAAACTCACAGACTACAAACCTGCTTTGGGTAGGACAAATTTTACATCCTTCCATGTTCTTTCAAAAGAAACAACAGTACTAATTACAGACACATTTTCTTGTACATGAAAAGTACATGGGGAATAAAAAAGCCATGGTGTCTTTGTGCAGAGCTTTAAGACTTCTTCAGCCAGGACTTGGTCTAAACATCTTACCAAGCCTTCTCAGGGCATTGCTCAATGTTTGCTCCAGAACACGTAAACAATCAGCATAGCCCTTCCTTCCCCCCTACTTCCCACAGAAGACTCACCCCAGTAAAGATTCAAATGCTGGTTTCAGGAGACAAGTGTCCAGCGAACTCCTTCTCTCCACAGCTGTAGGTGGCAGCCTGCAAAAGAAGAATTTCAAAGAAATAGTAAGAAAAGGAATGGGATGCAGAAACAAGGTAGGGAAACTTGGACAAGCCAAAGTAGTAAAAGCTGATTACTAAGCTATTATCACATCAAATTTTCATGACTCCCTCTGCCTGTGTTGTAAGGATGGAACTTTCTCACTGCAGCACAACTACTTTTACTAATAAAGGTTTTCATCTCACAGTGCTGCTCCAAAGGGTCTGTAACCTCCCTTGCTCAGCAAGTATCAAAGCAGGCATAACCAGAGCAAAGAACTCAAGCCCACCTCCATAAAAGCAGGAGACCTGGGCTGAATCACCCCTGCAGCCATACAAGACAGCATCCCCAGCACTCCTCAGAGAGGAGACAGAGTCTTGGATGAAGAGAGAAACAGACAGCACTACATAGGGTACTTAAAGAAAAATAAGATTCTTTGGGGATAAGTCATTCCTCTCATAATAAGGCTAAGACTTACACTTCTAAGCACATTCCCGCCTTGGTGATTTAGCCCAATAATCACAAATATGAAGCCCAGAAGGGAAGGTAAAGTTCAGTGTGAGCAACGCGTTCATCTGGGCTGCATTAAGAACAGAAGGATGAAACCACCAAATTGGAACCATAGGTCAAACAGACCATTAAGGTTAGTTGCTTTTGGTAACCTGAAGTTGTCATGTGAATACTGACACTGAGAAAGCACCCTGTGAAATCTATCAGCTCGCCACCTTGTTGCTTCCCAGCGTCAGCCTCACAGATGGCATTTTGCAGCATGGCTTCAGAGAGAACAGAGGACTGCTTTTAAGCTTCAACATAGGTGCTCATTAGTCCCACAAACCTAAATGCAGGAATTCACTAGCACAAGATCTGCCTATGCAGGCACTTGCACGTCGCAAGTGAAACACACCTTTGATTCAATAAATTTTAAGCACAAAAGTTGCTCTCTTAGCTCTGCTGATTTTATTCAGGTATAATTCAGAATTGCAAAAATTTGAAAACTATAAACCAATGTCCTTCCAAACATTCACTGTTACAGACAGTCATTGGAAGTGGCCATTAATATTAAACAAACACTGGAAACATGACGTAAGACAAATTTCTTTCTGACAGACATGTTACCATTGTGTTCATAACAGAAACAGCCACTGGACACAGGTGTACAATAACCAACTGAACAGGGAGCCTATGGACAAAGGCTACAGATTTTAGGCTACAACCCCTCCCACCTGCCCAAAAACCAACCAAAAATAAACCCCACAAAAATACTCAACTGCTGAACTTACTGGGTAAGGCCACTAGTCTCATAGGAAGGAGAAGCCCCCACAGAGGAAGTCTGTCCATAAAAGCTAATCCTGCAAAAAGGGAAATTTCATAACACTGTGGTTTGCTGTGAACAGAAACCACAACAGAAAGCTATTTGTATCAATTGTATGCTATAAACAAGATAAAAGGAGGCATATCAATCACTACTTTTAAAAGCTACTACTCTTATCTTCATAACACTCTGGTCAGCCCTGGTCACAGCTGTGCAAATGCCAATGGAAACTCAACTTCTTCAAAATAAGCGCCCTGAATTTTAGGTCCCAAGCCACTTGTTCCGTGAGCCTGGAGACAGTGAAGGCCACAAGGGCTGCCCCTGGGCTCAGCAAATTTCAGCTCTGCAAAAGGTGCCCACTGCACCTGCAGTTATTCTCATGTGTGGACAAGGCCTCTCCCACGTCACTTATCAGACACTTAAAGGAACAAACTAACACTAAACACGCATGGGGTAGAGGGAGATATGGACACATGACACACAGAAATAAGGTATCTTCCTCACCTGAACACCCATTTTCATGAACCTCAGAGGGGTTCCCTATCTGTGAGGTCCTGACCTCTCCATACAACCAGGGTCAAAAATTGATTACTAGGTTTAGAAGTGACACAAGAGAAGGGGCAACAGGACAGAACGATCATATTGACTCCCTTACAGCACAAAAAAAAAAAGCCAGGCACAGAACAAACACAGAGGTAGAGTAGTAATGATTTCTGTTGATTACTAATAAACAGTTAAAGAGCAACACAGCTACATCTCTCATACAGGCATGAGGTGTCTGAACAAAACATCACCATACCAGTAGAGGTTATTTCTCCACAGATTTCCATGCAGTATACCATACATAACAGCAGCAGCCAGGATAAAAAACAGAAGAATTCGTTTCATGACTGGTAGACCTGAAATATGAGAAAACAAAACAAAAAGTTTAAACTCAAGATAAGCTATTACATGAACTTTCCTAAAGCATCTCGAAACCTACAAAAGGAAAGTACTATTATTACAGCCATTCTCCACCATCACAGATCTGACTAGAGATCACTCCACTTTGACTTCTCACACACCAGAGAAGGAGCTGAACGCTGCTTTGCACCTACCACATATACCCACACTGCACAGCAGCTTTGAGAGGAGTTCACTCCAGGTTCTCTCTGAAGACACGGGTGGAAGAGGGGCTCTTCCAGAAGCATGTCAGAGTAGGAACTCTTTTCTGTTCACTGGCAGCCCAACCAAACTAGACTCTTGGGTCAGCAGCTGGCCTTTACAGGCACATAGGCTTCTCCCCTTTCTTGTGCCACATGCTATCAGTTTCCATAATTACACAGTTAAACAAGCACTGGCACTCTGCAGGAGGCAGATAGGCTGATGCTGCTGAAACAGAACAGGGAATGAGCTGCCACAAATTTCTGCTGGCTTTTTTAGGATCACTGGATGTTCTTGAAGTCCAGGTTTGACATTTAAAATTGCACTGAAGCTATTTGCTTATGCCTGCATAGCCTCCAGCTCCTGACACCGGCCAAACTTCACTGCTCATGTCACAGAAAAACATTATTTTCAAACACGGCTAAGTGAGGAAGAAAAGTTAGGACCCCACCAGTTAAACTTGCTAAATTATGGAAAAATATCAGCAAAAGTGTTAATGTTTTAAATAGAGCTTGCACCTCATTGCACAGTCTAGTTAAAGAAAAACAGAGAAGTATCAGAAACTCATGTATCTGGCAAGACATATCGAGGGAAAAGCAAGTTCTCTCTTGCTCACATCCTAGACAATGAGCTGCCTTTTCAATAGCTATGAATGAATTGTTGTTGGTTAATCTCAGGGAAGTCCAAAATCTCATGAAAGTTCAGTCATTCTGGCCACAAGTTACTGGGGAAATTTACTTGACAGTTGTGGCCTTCCACTATTTTTACTCCTTCCCCATCACGGTAAGCAGGTTCAAACCACATAATGCACATATATCTACCTGCCATAACAAACAGCTGTCCAGTAAAATAAGTCATATCCAAACATACTGCTGCATTTTCCAAGACTAGAACATCTGCCTTTATGGTTCATTCTTTTGACTTTTAAAATATTTCTTCTTTTAAACTCCATTTTGCTTTTTAGAGTATTTAGAGTTGCTGCTATTTCAAACAGCCCCAAGGCAAACTAAAAGTGGATATAGTCCAAGTGATGTACAGCAATATGTTGTATACTAGTAATATCATGATATCACAGCTTAAAGGCCAAGAAACCTGGAGAGTTTTTTTGTTATTAGAAACTGGAAAGCAAATTATTGCCACTCATGGATCTTTATCCCTGAGGAAATACCTGACAGTGAACTATTTGTTATATTTACTTCAGTGTAAGAAGCCACCACTTCCTTATTCTTTTATCACCCATATTCTTCAGCAGACTTTAACAGTAGAGTCAGAGATAGGTTTTGTAACAGCATCTACCAGTAACAAAGCCATGCAGCAAACAAGGTAGAATCTAGTAAGCTTAAGTACGTTCTCCAGGCTATCCTACTCTGCTCTGGACAAAATACTCATAGGCTACAGCTGTTGCAATTTCAGCCTTTCAGGCCTCCTTGGGAATTAGCACTTTCCTTCAGCTCCAACTCCCTTGATGCTTCTCCAAGGGTCACTGCAAATTTGTCTTGACAGTGACTTTCAACTTTTAGAGCAATCCCCGAGTTTCAGCAATAACTCTGTAAGATCCATTCCCTAAAAGTTCAATAACATTACAAGAAAACTCACCTACTGGGTTCAGTCAAATGTCATTAACAGCAATTGGCTCATAATCCTGAATGCCATCGCACAGCACGAACAGGACAACTGAGGGATCAGGCTCAGCCTGAATGGGTTTAGGAAAGGCAGGTCCTGCTTGATCAACCTGATCTCCTTGTATAACAGGGTGTCCTGCATGAAGGATGAGAGGGAAAGGCTGTATATGCTGTCTACCTACACCTTCGTAAAGCTTAGACATCATTTCCTCCAGTACTCTTTTAGAGAAACTGGCTGTTCATGGCTTGGATGGGTGTGCTCTCCACTGGATTAAAAGCTGGCTGGCCAACCCCAAGTAGAGGTGGTGAATGGAGTTACATCCAACCAGTGGGGTTCCCCAGGGCTCAGTGTTGGGACCACTCCTGTTTAATATCTATCTTTAAAGGCAAGATACAGTCTGGACAGGGAGAAAGGGTGCCCTCAGTCTGCAGACAACACAGAATTGGGTGGGAGTGCCGATGTGCTGGAGGACAGGAGGGCTCTACAGAGGCATCTGGACAGATCAGAAGGATGGGCCAAGGCCAATGCTATGAGATTCAAAAGGGCCAAGTGTCAGGTCCTGTCCTTGGTCACAACAATTCCCACGCAGTGCTACAGGCTTGGGGTAGTTGCTGGAAAACTGCCTGGTCGAAAAGGTCCTGGGGGTGCTGTTTGACAGCAGCTGAACACAAGTCATCAGCGTGCTCAGGGGGCCAAGAAGACCAATGGCATTCTGCTTTAGATCCCAAATACATGGCCAGTAGAATCAGGGAAGTGATTATCCCGCTGTACTCAGCACTGGTGAGACCATACCTCAAATTCTGTGTTCAGTTTTGGGCAGAGAATAAGGACACTGAAGTGCCAGAGCACATCCACAGAAAGGCAAAGCTGGTGAAGAGTTTGGAGAAGAAGAGGCTCAGTGGGGACCTTATCGCTCTCTACAACTACTTCAATGAAGGGTGTGCTGAGGTGGGGGTCTGTCTCTTCTCCCAGGCAACAGGTAAAAGGACAAGAGGAAATGGCCTCAAGTTGTGCCAGGGGAGGTTTAGATTGGATAGTAGGAAAAATATTTTCATTGAAAGAGTTGTCAATCACTGGAACAGGCTGCCCAAGGAAGTGGCTGAGTCACCATCTCTGGAGGTATTTAAAAGTCATGTAGATGTGGCACTTAGGAACATGGTTGAGTGGTAGATGTGGCAGTGCTGGGCTAATGTTTGGGCTTCATGATCTTAAAGGTCTTTTCCAACCTAAATGATTCTATTATTTACTGCACTCTTGTCTTGTTTTTCCTTTCACTGTCGGTATCTTTACCCCTCCTGCTTTGTAAAGGTTTGCCAAAACATCCCACTAATGTGAAAATCAACTGTTTACTTTTTAGTCCCAAATTCAATCAATGCAAACTTCACTTAAATGGAACATAACAAACTAGTTCTTCAGATAAAGTTGCTAAATTAACAACTGATTAAACTGCTCATTTTGGTGACTTCAGTGTAAGAAAGAACCTTGCTGAAGAGTCAGATCAAGTTACAAAACAAAGAAAAGACAAGACAAAGCTGCCCATGAAGAGTCTTTTCAAAACAATTATTCGCAACAGTGTTATTCAGAGGGGAGAAAACTGTTCTACTTGAAATATTTACAAAGCTATCATTACAGCCTTAAAAATAATTGCAACAAGAGAACGTAAGTCAGGATCATTCTTCCAAAGAATCACAAGGAATTTGTAACAACTTTCAGTGTCTTATGTAGGACACTCAGCCCAGCATACACACGATAATAGGTCCACCCCAGTCCAAACAACCCATCATTAAGAGCATAACTAACTCAGCTCTTAGAAACATAAAATCATCTTTAATTATACAAGTGTCTCCTCATCATCCCCTCCCCCAGTGCCTGGCTTCATTCCGTTTTTGAAGAGAGAGTTCTATTGTCAAGAAAGACGATCTCCTTAGTGAAGTCTTTCTTAATCTGGTTTAGTAAACAGAACCATTGCCTTGTTTACAGAAGAAATCATTCTGGGTGTATTTTTAATGGTGACAGAATTTTACAGCTTTCCCTTCCTATTTTAAAACAGCTGAGTGTTACAGAAAGTCAACCAAAGGAAAACATATTCCTACAACGTGGGTATTGCACTAGAAAATTCCCACAGTCAGAGACACAAGAGGACAGGCAATTGAGAAGACACGGTTCAGATGTAAAACAACAATCCCTTCCAGTTTATCTATGTCAATACAAGAGTTGGTATCTTGATTAAAGCCCATCAATCCAAATGACAGAGGTCACAGTGCCCTTAGGACAACGTCAATCAGGATTAAGCAAAACAAGGAAGACAAAGCTGGAACTCAACTATTCAATTCCCTCCTCTTTCTAAAAAGCCTACAGTGACTTCCTCAATGGAAGGAGTGAGGAACATAGCCTAATGATCACGGTGTTACCTGGCCAGTTTTCTGAAAGTAAGCAAGCAATGGGATGCATGTTGCAAAAGACTAATGAGCATTTTTTAATAAGAATCTAAGCTAACTTCTGTGGCTCTATTTCCCACCTCTCCCAAAGCAGAGGTACAATTACAGAATTAGACAAGACTGACTCTGTTATGGTATTAAGAGACCTCAGAGATCAGCCTGTATCTCCTACTGACAGACAGATCCGCCTGGGCTCCCATCAACCCCCCCGACAGACTCATTTGAGTATACGATCAATTAGCTATATAAGACCTGAGGTTTTCTTCCCTTGGTGGAAGCGGGGAACCCACATCCTTGTCAGAGCTGCATCTCTATTCTGGTACAGTGCGGTGGTATCTGGTATGAGCCACTATCTCAGAGCCTCTGCTTATCTTCCAACTTACATTTGCTGTTGGATGCAGCCATGCCACAGAATAAAATAACCCCGCAGGAATCCACAGCTGTTGGACTAGGGAACCAAATGACCACACTATGATCACCTTTTTTTCCATAATGTTTGCTTTATTCCTTAAAAATTAGGTTGTTAATAATATGATGCAGGAAGCTTTTCCATCTGTCCTATGTGTTTTGTAAAGTACCTTTGACTACTACTGAAGCAAAGAGTTAATAATAATATTTAACTCAAAAGTGGTTACTACTAAATTAAATACTACTCATCTTAGAACAATCTTAAACTGTCACAAGACTAGGTAACT